GGGGGGGGGGGGGGGGGGGACGCACAAGGATGCGGAGGAGGCAGCTGTGAATTATCTAATAAACTAACCGCTGCTTCCTTGGCTTTGAACTCCTTTTCCCTCTGCAGGCGGTACTGTTCAATCTCTGCCTGTGCTTCTTCTTTTGCCTGTTTCAGCCTCCGGTTCTTTCCTATTACCAAAAAATATGCCAGATTAGAATAACATCTGAGAGAAAGACAGTCAGCTAGGACACAGCATTCCCCATTCCCCACAGGCATCCAACTTAGCAGACAGTTACTGTGGCATCTACAATTGCAGCTTGGCAGGAAGAGCCCGCAGGAGGCCATCGCCAGAATGCCACATGTTTTCTAAGGCCTCCTCTGTTATCCAATTTTATACTGTTAACTGACAGTCCTATATCTTCCAAGGGGGCACTGACTGCAGAGTGCACCTCTCATCCATAACCCAACTCACCACCTGGCAAGAAAAAAAAAAAAAAAAAGGGGGAAAAAGAAAAGGAAAAAGACCCTCAAAACCCAGAAGATACCTGCCAGGAAAAAAAAGTCCTGCTGCCTTGGCTCAGCTGATCTGTACTTTCTGTAAGAGTACTTGCACTTTGCACAACAGACGGATCAAGTGATCTCAGCTTTGCCTCAGTCCAGTTGTGCAATGGCTACAAGTTAAATGTTATACGACACCCCTCCCCGCCTTTAAGGATTTCTATAATTAAGATGAATTAAAGCAATGTACCTCCCAGGTAAAGAAGCTGAAATGATTAAGCAGGAGATAAGCAGTAAAACAGTACTTGAGAAGTGTGACAAGAACTCCTCAGGGTAGTAACCATGGATGAAGTCCTGGCTCCATTAAGATCAATGAAAAAAAAAAAACACTTTCATCAACTTTGATGAGGCCAGGGTCCAACTCTGTCTTTAATCTCTACATAAATGCCCAGGAAGCAGAGATTCAACATGCCAGCAAAAAGCAGATAAGAAATATGAACATGCCAGCCCACTCCTCATGGTGAAAATGCTTGTTCCCAGATCCTGCTTGGTGGTATCACCTTTCATAAGGATCTTTGCATAGATTAGTCGTTCAATTGATTTGGAGAGATTTCAATTCCTGGATTACAAGCGTCTCTCCCATCACTCCATGCTATATCTTCACACAGGAGGCAGCGCTTTCTTGGGGCAGCCAAGCCAAGGCACAGGAACAAGCTCATAAGGCGCTACGGGCCACATAAATTTCACCATCTGCTGTAGACAAGGTTCTTTCATTTGCTCAAAGACCCTTGTCTGCCTATGTCCTTAAACCAGCACGGCTACAACCTACACCCCATCCTCTGTACAGCACATTTTCTTTGACCCTGCCGGCTTTAACCAGACACACAGCAGCACTTTCCTGTTAAAAACAACTCCACAATGAACACCCCCCACCCCCTGCAGGCACTCTGCCTTAGAAAGAGTGCCAGATGCTAGCCATGTTCCTCAATGCACTACGGGACACCCCTCCTGCTATAGCAAGCAGTGAATAGGAGCCCAAACAGGGCAGAAAGATACAGAACCTCCTGACTGCTCCACCCAAAGGACCCAGCTTCCCTTGCCTTTCTTGGCTTTCCTTCTAAGCACTTCTCCATCCTCAGCAGCTGCCTGACTTGTAGTCATTTCCCATTTCAACACTCCTCAAAAGGGCAGGTCCACACCACAGCAAAGACCCCCTTGGGCAACTGGCACCAGAAATGAGGAGGAAGCAATTCCAGCTCCATCCACTCCCACCCCATAGCCCCGACCCGGGAAATCAGGCTGCAGCTTCACCTGGGGAGCACCCCAAAGCACCGCTCTTGGGCATGTCCAGAAAGCCCCGTTTGGTGCCCCCTTTCCTGCTCTTTTCTGGAACCGGCTCATGGAGCAGAACAGTCTGATTTGCTGGGGGGGCGTGGACAAGCCCTTCGGAGGAGCATTGAAATAGAAATGGCTACAAACCCGGCAGCTGCTGGGGATGGAGAAGTGCTTAGAGCACAAGCAGCAGAAGGGCAGGGAAGCTGAGGCACGCTCGGGAGGTTCTGCGTTTTTCTGTCCGACAGGGGCCCATTCCCCGGGCTGCGCAACTGGGACAAAGCCACACCCCACGGGTCCCCGAGAGTGAGAGTGAGCCCCAGCGGGGGAGAGACTCCGCATCACCCTGGAGCGGCAGCACCTTCGCCCCTTGCTCCCTCCCGAATGGGAACCCGAGCTCTCTCTTCCATGCCCGGCCCAGCCCTGCTCGCAGGGGACGGGCAGCCGGTGTCTCCCACCACCTCCCTTCCGAACCCACGGACTGGAAGCCGCTGAGCCCGGGAATGGAACGCGCCGGAGCCAATCACAGACGCGCTCCGCGGCTCACAGGCCAATCGCGTGCGGGGACACCGAAAGCGGGCTAGGGGCCGCCGGTTCGATCCCCGCTCCCTCCAGACGCATTGGGCCCCGGGCGCGGCAGCACTCACGCTTGCGGGCCTCGGCCACCTTCTCGGCGGCGCGCTTCTCAGCCCGCAGCAGCTGCCGGGTGCCCTGCGACTGGCCA